CGTGGTTTTTGTATTAGACCCGTCGTCCATTTATTTGTAAGTCAATGCTTATTGTGCAAAAATTAAAATCGTAGCCATTGAAATAACAAAGTGATAACGATCCCTCTCCTGTGAAATTTGGCTTGTTGCAGTTATATGCGTTTTTTACTAATATTACTTATCGCGGATTTACACCATACCCGACTATTTTTTTTTTAAATTTCGTGTATTTAAACAATTTTTAAATTTTCCAATCTTCCGTCCATTAGATATAGGTTTCTGAACAAGTCGCACGGCAGTTTCAACAGGCACAAGCTTATAGAGCACAAGTCAAAATCTAAATATTCTTTAGTCTTAAATGCGTTTCCAGAAACTTCCCTGCTTTTCAGTTAAACAATTTCGAAAACAATGGCAATATTATAATAATATCATCTTTTTGTTAAGGACTTTCTAAATTTTTTATCTAAACACTTAGAATAATAACGCATAGAATGATAGTTTCATATCAAACGAACTGCTTTAGTAGCAAGTTAATTTTCGGTTTTAGTGAATATTTATATAAAAATACAAGTTGAAACGCGTTACTTCCTTGTGGATTGTGATGTTAGTATCTATTTTATGTTTGTTTGACGTCTTTTTACACTCGTTTACCGCACATTTCGTCATTTTTAGCTAAAATTCTGGAGCTGTTCGCGGTGCAAGTTGACCTTGAGCACTGACGGCCCGCCCGCTCTTGTAGGTGTGCGGACTAGGTTTCTATGCGTTATTATTCTATACACATATCATAAACTCTCTAAATTGTGTTCAAAATCCGCAAATTACGACCAGCATAAAGGTAAACTGTTTTATTAGAACAAATTTCTTATCTGTGAAACTGTTCATCATGACTTCATAATAACATCGAATTCGATGTTATTATTACATTCAAATTTCTAAATTCTCTGAAAAACAAAACAATTTTATTTGACCTCAATTCCAATATCAGTCGAGGTGAAGTGAAAAAAAGCGTGCTTTTTTTAAACGCTTTTTCACTTAAAAGCTTTTTAGTTTGAAGCTAACAAAATTGTTTAGAAAACGTTTAAGCGCATAGACTTTTACGTTAAAAAAGCTTGCAACGTTGTGTTGATAGCGAAACGCAAGACTAGACCACTAAAGGTTTTAAGATAAATAAGTTTTTTTGTAAACAACGAGTTATATATTTAACATAACATTACTATATTTACATTTTGTTCATTGGCGTTTAAAAGCGTTTAAAAACATAAGTTGTTTAACTTTTGTAGTTGTTAACCGTTGAAATGGAAAAAACTGCTTATTTTTTAACGTTAAAACATACGTTTAAAAAGCGTCCTCGTAAAAACGCTTTTCACTTAAACGCTTTTTAGGTTGACGCTTAAAAAGTCGTTTAAAAAGCGTGCTTCTCATTTAGGGTCGTATTCCAGAACTCTATTCAATGCTCAAGTCAGGACTTGAGTATGATTTCAAGCACTGGAAATACGACCCTAAAGGCAAGAACTTGAGTATGATTTCTAGTGCTATAAATCATAAAGATTGCACTGGAAACACAAGCACTGGAAATACGACCCTAATGGTAGGGACTTGAGTATGATTTCGAGTGCTTTAAACCATACTCAAATCCTGACTTGAGCATTGAGTAGAGTTCTGGAATACGACTCTTAAAGGCTTTTTAGTTTGACGCTTTAAACGTTTAAGCGCATAGACTTTATGTTTAAAAAAAGCTTGCAACATTATGTTGAACTAATTTGTTTAGGAAACATAAATGGCGCTGCTTGAAACTTAGGCACGTTGTAAAAAATGAAACTATTGAGTATCTATAGAACTGGCCAGTGACCAACGCTTACGCTTAAAATAAAAAGCGTGCTTACGCGCTTATTTTAAAAAGCAGACTTTTTAAGTGCTTTTCGTTTAAACGCCCACCTCTAGTTGTGTGACATACGTGAGAAAAGTTTTCATTTGCTGCCATTTCGCAAGTCATAACATACGGTTCAAGCTTGCCAATCAAGTATCAAGCTGGGCAATGTGGACTGTTGTTTTCACAAATGTTGCAGTTGAATTTAATAGGTGTATTTACACTTAACCTTGTGCTACTGCATTTAGCATAGATAATAAAACTAATACCGTAGATATAAAACAATTGATTTACGAATTGTAAGAATTGTACGAACTTTATTGCTTCTTATCGTGTCACGTATTATGATATAAAATTTTTTTCATTTCATCCCGGATAAATGATAAACGCTGAACGCATTGTAAATTAAATTATTAATGTTTTTTTTTCTTCTTTCCATAAAGGAAAAGGCAAAGGTTTTACACCATACAGCCAAGTCTTGGTACATTATTAAGTCTTTTGAGCTATGTCTTCGTTTAATTATGTTTCTGTAAATATGGCCGCCACAAAGGCAAGGGATAGGCAATTTGAGGCGGCGTGTTTGGATTGACTCGGGATTCCTTAGAACGGGCAGATATGGGTATTTTAGTTCGAGATTCGTATAATTTCGCGTTTTAATCTTCGATTAAGGCACAATAGCACTATCCTATTCCACTTTAAACTAGATTTCACAAAATAATTGAAAGTCAAAATAAAAACGACACTTTTCCCTCCAAAAGGCCCAGAGCGAATCTTAAATTATTAAATATGATCGCAATTTTGCGTTTTATTATAAGGTAGAATATGTACACGAAAATTTGCAGCCTTTATTTCCAAAACATTATAACCCTAACATTGTAACGTTGTAAATAATTTTTTAACTTAGGTAAAGTAAAACAAATAAGAATACAGATATTGTTATTATTATTCTTTCTCGATCATCATGCGAGCTATAGTTATCACGTGGTAAAACGAAACGTAATAATCATAGTCTGACGTTCGATAATTCGTTATCGCTTCGCTTGCTTCTCTTGTTGAGAATGCCGAGTGCCGCTGAAAGTTTGTTACATTTATATTAGTTAATTTATCATAAAATGTCGTCAGATTCTGAAGATGATTGCTATGGAAATGTAGCACAACAATTACAAAAGCTAAAAAACCAATACCAAGAGGATAAAATTGAAAGTGTACAATTACTCAACGATTCATACGAACTGGACGATATTGTGAAAAACAACCCTATTCCCGCCGGAAAGAAGCGAAAATCTGCTAATAAACCGAATAAAGAGCCATCTCCTGCCTCTGTAAGTAGCATACCAGATGTAATACCTGATGTTGTCGTGCAAAACAACTCAAAACGTACAACTAGATCGTCTACTAGAAATAATACGAGTTCTAATGAATTGCCTCCAGTTGAAGATTTACCGCCAACACGAAGACGTAATGTAGCTTTAAATATTTCCACGGGCAGCGCCTCTTCGCCGACGGCATCTAGAGGTCGGAGAGGTCGCGGAGGTAGAGCCAGAGCTAGGGGTAGAGGGCGACAACGGACAAGGGCTCCAGCTACTCCTAGAGGTCGCCATAGAGATTCAGCAAGAAATAACAATGACACAGATATCCCAACCTATAGTGTGGGTAACACTGAAGATTACCCTGACCAATCTGACAATCAGGTTTTATTTAGCAACAAAGCGACAACAGCCGATGTTGTCATCATTGATGATGATAACTCGGAAGAAAATGAAGAACTAAATGTAAAAGTGTATTGGACAAGTTCGGAATATTACAAATTTTCAATACGACGGTTTCAAAAAATAGCACAAATATTTGATCATTTCGCTGAAAAGGAAAACATAAGTCATAATAAGCTTTTATTTCGGCTTAATGGAAAGATTCTAAAGCCCAACGATACGCCCGACTCAATTGGGTATACAATAAGCAAGATTATAGACGGTGGTATAGTGGAACAGGGTGTTTCAGATTTAATAGCAGGCACGGACAAAGTAACCAGTGATGGTATTAAATTGAAGTTTCAATGTCAGACTCTGAAGAAACCGTTTGAAATAGTCATAAAACCGGATGACAAGTTCTCCTTGACTATGGTGAAAGTTGCCGAATACTTGGAAAGACCGCTGGAGAAATTGAAATTTGAATTTGACGGTGACAGTATATCAGGTGAGATTATTTTGAAATTCAAAAATTGTACTTAATAATTTGAAAAATGTTTAGGACCGTAAACGTATCGTGAATGTATTTCTTTTAAATATATGAATGAATGAATACCAATTCAACATAAAAAAGTTTATTCTTCTTTTAAATGCTATGGCTCCATTGAAATAAACGATGATTTCGCCAATGTCAAGTAAAAATTATTATGTGTCGTGGTTTTGTAAAAATATGATTTCTACTTTAAAACTTTACAACCCCATTGTTACCATTGTTAAACCCGCCAATGCCAAGTTGAGGAATGCACGCGTTTTTAACTCAAAGATAGTCAATCTTAAATATAATAAATTGTGGAAAAATTCACTGAGAAGAGAACACAGCAACACAGACATAGACTTACAAAAACAAATTGTTTTTTTAATAAACTTACACAGGACATAGACAAGGGACGAGTGGACTAACGTTAAGAAAAAAATGTATAGGAAATTAAACTATTGTTTCGGGTGTAAATCGCGCACATTTGTTTTCTTTTTTTCAAAACATTCAAACCTAAACAACACAAACATTAAACATTAAAAACGGTATACATTCCATTCCTTAGTACAATATTCAATTCCTTTGCCGCATGCATCAGAAACAAGGAAGCAAAGCGCTTAGTGCTAATGGGTGGTATATCAACACATAAGGATGGAGTGTGAGTGGGATCTTCTAGTTGACCTGTATTAAAGCAATTTTATATCTTTCAACCATTGAGTACATAACCAGAAATAGAGATGAAATAAGGACCCTGGTAACTCATCAGGTAAATGGGCCCTAAATCACTTTTAAATATCAACTCTCGTTTGCGCTGAAATCACAAATTAGAATGCTGAAATAGTACAGCGCCAACATCTGACCTGTGTCTCCGTATATTCCAAAAATATTCCGTATTTATTGCAATAAAGATAATATCTCTAACTATTGAGGCCTGTTCCATTCGGTGGTGTGGGGAAAAACAGCAAAACATCTAATTACAAAACAAACGGAATCACATTTCATTGATAATTAAATATGTCATTTTTCAATTTACGTCCATCGTTACAAAGCTCAAGTTAAACTGATCGATTTGAAGTGAAACAATTGACGACACCCGTCAATCGTTTCGAATTAGGGCTGGTCAATCGGAGCGCAGTTGTCACTGTAATGATTTGGCAGAACAGATTTCAAACAAGTTAAATGACATTTTGTCTCTATTTCTGGTTATATACTCGATGCTTTCAACATAAAAATAGTTTTTATTTAAAACAAGTTTATATCTTTCAGGAAAATCAACTGCGCAAGAGCTAGAACTTGAAGGTGGGGAGTGTATTGATGTAAAAATAATTAGTTGATTAAGTGAATTCAATGTGCAGTCAGCTGCAATAAAATGTCCCATGAATATTGGCTGGCTAGTTGAGGGACTGACATATATGAGCTGACAGAGTGAGAGTGTTCTTTTTTTTAGATAATTGTGTCAATTGTTGTAAATGACTTGCACAGACTGGTCTGTTGAAGGAAGCCTTGGTCTAGACTATTGCTTTTCATTGTCACCTTTGTATATAATGTATTTTTAATAGTGTTCAATAATGTCATCTAAATATATGCAATATTTTTACTATTTTCTTTTATTTGTTTCTCAAGTCATAAATTAATTATACCTTGGCTTTTATGGTAACAAGAGTACAAGAAGTGATAACTCGATTAAACTTTAATATGCTATCATTGTTTAAATATAGTCAGAAATAGAGACGAAATAATGGCCATCGATCCCTGGCTGGATAAGTTATCCAGCAAATGGGCCTTTTAAATATCAAATTTCGTTTGCAGTGGAATCGCCAGCAACTGACCTGTGAGTACGTCTCCGTATATTCCAAAAGTATTCTGTATTTATTGTAATAAAGATAATATACTCTAACTCTGGGGGACAAAACATCTAATTACAAAACAAACAGAATCACATAAATTAATTGACATCTAAATAATCAATTGACGACACCCGTCAATTGTTTCGAATTCGGGCTGGCCAATAGGAGCGCAGTTGTCAGCGTAATGATTTGGCAGAATAGTTTTGACGACATTTCGGTTCTCTATGTAATATCACTATGAAGACCAACGTGAGACTTGACTTAATTTTATACATGAAATGTTTTTTACATTAAGGCATTCAAAAACCTTCCTAGAATAGAATGTGGTAAGTGTAGATATGTTGTATGTATATCAAATATTTTTTTTCTAAAAAAAAAACCGACCTCCACAATTCGTGGAATTACGTCTATTTGCCAAGTTTTATAGAAATTGGTTACCGATTTAAATGGAACCAATACTAAGGTTGTCAAGCTTGACACTTTTTGCTTTGGAGCGTTCTTATCGTAAGCGGCATAGAGTTGGATTTAAATGTTAAGCTTCAAGCTTGACGTGCCCTTGACCCTGTACATTATTTCCAACAAAAAAAAGAAACGTCTAAATCGGCTCACAAGTCGGCCGGAGTCATCGCGTAACATCATACAAAAAAATACTGTCGACTTGAGAACCTCGTCCTTTTTTTGAGTAGGTTAAAAAGTTCAAAATCATCTTTATTTCATAGGTGAACAAATTAGTCTTGAAATCATTATATTGATTAAACTCTACTGCTCATTCTTAAGACTGATTCTCCTGAGAAGAACGAGTAAGAAACTCTAGGGGTTGGTCTTTGTAAATATACATTTGAATAATAAATACATTTATCATTACAATATTCGGGTCACGGGTCACTACCAGGGATTTTTGTCATCCAAGTACGAAGAATCGGTACAATAACCTTTATTATAAAGTTTTTGTTTCACTGTAGTTTTCAACCTCGTAAGTGGCAAATTTTGAATATCAACCGGAACGTTTTTATAGAAGCGTGTACATGCCCCTTAAATGAATATGTGACTTTGCGAAAATAACTGTCAAGAACCGCTAGTTTATTTTCATTTTCCGTATTAATGTTACGTCTTTCACTATTTTTTGTAAAAAAATTACTATTCTTAACATAAATTACATTTTCAGAAATGCACTGTGACGCTATTGATTGATTATTTATTCAGGGGTCTGCCTACACCTCTGAGGGATAATCGTGCTGAATTTCAGAACTAAATATAAATTTTCCAGTAGCGTAGGGTGGGGGCGAGAAGGGGAGTCCTGACTAGTCAAAATTATTTTTTTAACATATGCGCAGGCTCCACCGTAAGTTAGCTAGCTTCGTTCGCGTTGTGGCGTGCGCTTTAAAATTTGAGAATAAATTCCACTATTTGAGTAAACGATATCCTGAACAACACAAAGATGGCGACGGCAGGCGAACATAAAAACAATCGAACCGAGCCTGCCCGAATGAATTACTTTTGCAAGTAATTGTGAAAATGAGGGCAGCAATGGTTGGCCTTGGGCGGCAGAAATCGACTCTACGCGACTGCACTTTTCTGTTCAATGGGTCAAAAGATCACCTTGAGGGTCAGGTATCTTAGGACATTGACTGTACTATGAGTCCGACCCGAGAGATGGGTTTTCCGGAGAGACTACGAGCTCTACGGCAAGAACAGGGTAGGGCGGGCGTCCGGGCCTTACCCTCCGTCAGTGATAAGCCTTCATGGGCGTATCTGGCGGACCTGGACTTGGGTATGGACTCGCCGGGGTTTGTGGTTAGCCGCAGGGACGAACACGTTCATCTGCACCGGTGGTGTGGCCGGGGTGTTCTTAGTAACGGTCTAGTTGAGGGTCTGAGGCGAGGAGACGCACGGGCCACGTGTGCCCTTTTAGTTGGTAGGTATGTCCGAACATTGTCGCAGGACACGCCTTCTAAGGCACTAGCCTTACAGAGAACCGGATGCAGTCCGTGTAAACGTGCTGATCCGGGGTTAGGACCTGACTTAGATGCGAGCGAGCCCGCACAGGTCCTAGTGCCCTTCCCGCGTAACCAAGAGGTTGACAGTGAGGGTCACTATAAACAAAACTTATGCAGAAATATATGGGACTGTACTGCCCAATTCAATCAGTCTCGGCATCTTTTTTGCGTCGGGTTTAATAAAAATAGTAGGTACCATGCAGTTTGTACTAAGAAAGAAACGCACGTTCGCACAATTGTGTTCTAACCTGTATTTTGCTTAGTTTGCCTAATCTCTTTGATTAAAATTAATCTATTTGAAGCTAGACAGCTAATTCTGCGGCTCCAATACGATTATGTGACGTCAATGTATTGCGCATCATTTAAACATTCATATTTAATAACTGCCGACTTAAAAAAGTCTTTCTTATTTTATCTTATGACTTAACACTATTTTGATATAAAAATTCATTATGGTGGTACCTACATATTTAGTACATAGTATGGTTAGAAAAATGCAAACCATTAGTACCATTGACTTACAAATAAATGGACGACGGGTCTAACACAAAAACCACGAACAAAATGTCCCAAGTCAACCTATTTAAACGTAGTGACATGTAAAGGAATATGAAAAAGCTAAAACGTTGAATTTAAATTGTAATGTCATCGCATTACTATCTAATTTTGCTTGCTTCGCTGTCAGTTGAACAAACGAAGACTAAAGCGTGAATGACGCTCTGTATACGATTTTAACGCCCTATAAGCTCGGACACTTTTTAGCGCGGACCCGACGTCCATATAATTGTAAGTCAATGATTAGTACTATCCGAAACTGTTACTGTCAAATAAGTAATACTCGACCATGTTATAAGACAATGTCATGGAGAGTTCCTTGTGAAGGTTCGTCCAAGGAAGTGCTGCCCACCTTACATATTTCTGCCTCCAAGCAATAATGTGAGCATTATATACTACATTCCGGTTTGGAAGGGTAAGAGTACTGGTGAAATTACAGGCACATGGGACTTGTCAACTTGTGACTCAGCGTGACGGGCTGGCGCAGTGGCAGTGCCCCTAAGATTTTTGCGATTTAATGCTCTGCAACGGTTACGGCTAGGCGTGTCGCTTTACCACCACGCGCACGAATTGTTCGTCCCACAGTCTCAGTACAGAGTACTAAAAAAACCGACCTCAAAAGTACGTGGAATTACGTCTATTTGCTAAGTTTAATTGAAATATCCCCTAGTTCGCCACTATACAGGACTTGACACTGGAGATAAAAATAGGTTCTCACTACGACACTACACAAAGTATATTGAGAGAAAAACGCCTTGAATTGGAGAAATAGCAAAATCAACCGTTAAAGTAATTGCTCCTAAATTGAAGTTAGGCGCTATTTATAAAAATGAATCTTCATGCGTGAACAGCCACCCTTCGAGGTGGATGATTTTCTTCAAAATAAAATGGGACCACTATGGAAGTACCCCCTTTCCAACAAAAAAAGAATCATGAAAATCGGTTCACAAATACCGGAGTTATACTATGTAAGTAAGTACTATGTCCCTACATCTAAGTATAAACACGACTGTCTGTGTGACTGTACACGAATTGAAGCATTGGGTGTAACAAACATGTATCACGTAAAAGTGAGATTCGAGAATAATGAAAATAAAGTTTTAATGTCTTATAATATCTTTTTAATATTTTTATTATGACTCTTATGTACTTTATTATTTATTTGTCCTATGATTTAGCTTAAAGGTTCAGGTGTTATTATTTTAAAACAATTAGAAACATTTGAAAATATTTTTTTTTTCATTGTGTTATCCACCATTTTTGCACCAAACCGGTAAATTAAAGGGGCGTTCGTTTTATTGTTGGTTTTTAAGGAAGTTTTTAAAAAAAATGTGAATCAGTTTTAAATAATGTAAAACTTACATTGAAAAAATTTAAACATATTTTTAATAATTCTTCAAATTCGCTAGATTGAAATGAATCGTCAGTATCGTCTTCAGCAGGTTTCACTGGTCTCCTAGATGCTCCATGCTAAAGATGTCGCTCGTTTCAGACTTTTTTACATTAAAATAAGTTTTTAGAAATTGCAGGTGGTAACGGGTCCGACATTCAAACGCACATTTATAATCTATGCCACAAGGGCAGAGCGCCACCTTCTAAACGAATGAAAATTACGCCATCTAGAAGGGAGATCGAAATGCGTTTTGTCACAAGATACTAGATAGTGTTTTACATGTTTTGATGCAATATTGGGTGCCGAATTGTTGTTCCTAATGCTTCAATAAAAAAACGTGTCTTGGTTTTGGAAACCATATTTCTATACTAGTAAAAAAATAAAACAAAAAACTTACACATCATTTCTCCTGAGTATTCTCTATTAAGTTGGCAGATACAAAAATTAATACAAAGAACACGTGAAATAACAAGCACAGAACACAATGACAGATGTAAACAGAAACTGTATATAACTGCCGAATGGTCAAAGTCACGAATCCGCTTTATATTATAGACTTGGGTGACAACTTTACATTTGCCATTTGATAAGGAAATTATGACAAAGATGTTTCAGATATTCTATGGCTCATATGTAGTGATCTACCATGTGACTCACCATTATTCTCCTTGTGAAAGAGTTTCTTCCGCCAAGCAGTAATTTGAGCTTTATAGCATTCCGGTTTAGAAGGGCAAGGGTGCTGGTGATATTACAGGCACATGGGACTTGTCAACTT